TACTATATATCAATTTAAAAAAAAGGTGTGTATCATACAGAGGTAATTATTACAGAACCATGTCTAATGATCAGTACGTACATCAGTGTGCAGGTTGTTGTGCAGCTTTTCTCTTCTCCTGTGACAGACACTCACATATTTCACTGCTTCTACAGCAGTGGCACTTTTTTCACTCACTCTCACACTCACTCTCTCTCTCTCTCACTCACTCTCACACTCACTCTCTCTCTCACTCACTCTCATTCTCTCTCTCTCTCTCTCTGTCTCTCTCACTCACGCCCATAAAAGACAGATTTGAAGTTGCTGCTACTGCTGCGTTCACGTGCTGTCAAAGGTCGTGTGTACATTCAATGCACCCCTTGACACCCCATTGAGGTGTGGTGCAGATATAAAAACGCTGGCATTGTATAATTCCTGACGCCTAATCGAGGAATAAATGAATGATTGATTTCTGTCTGTAGTTGTTTCTTAATGTTTCCTGTTACTTCCGTACATAAGCATTCACCAGTTTTTAAGTGTAATATTTTGCCATATTTGCCCCCAAATCCGGTTGTAACGAGGGACCGTGAAGCGCCTCGTTGTGAAGCAGCAGCCAATGGGAGCGCGCCGCCGCTGACGCGCTAGCACGCATGTGCACACCGAGCCGCACGTGGTTCGGTGTAAACGCGACACGCAGACGCACGCAGGGCTTCAGAAATGGCGGCCGACGCTGGCATTTCTCCGCTGCAGCTACCCTGCGCCTTTTCGCCCAAACCGCGGCAGTACTTAGCGCTGTGTGCCCAAGATGGCAGACTGCGCATCTGGAACACAGACAGTAAAACGCTCCACCAAGAATACGTGCCTTCAGCCCACCTGAGTGCTACTTGTACCTGCATAGCCTGGGGACCATGCCGGACAGCCAAGGTACGTGAGGCGGAGGACTGCCCTGCTGTTAGCATCAGGAGCTAGTGAGGCCTGTGGGGCTGAGTGAGGGGGTTTCTGGTTAAAACGTGCGCACGGTGAAGCCACAGAGATGTCGCTATTTTTAAAGAACGTGCCCACGAGGCCCGAACCCCTCTGCTGTGTGTCGGTACGGGCGCGTTCGTGTGCCTGACACACTCTTGAGTTAGCAGCGGAGCCACGTTAGCCGCTAGCTAGCTCTCACCAGCTGCGCAGGACGCACATGTTGCTCCCACATGGTAGACCGAGAAATCACGGACAACGTCCCACCTTTAGTTTTCTGGTTGAACTAACTGTACTGAATGTCGATCCCAATCTCATTAAACCGAATATGTGTTTTCAAATGTCTCTAGCTCATAAGCTGAAAGAATAAAGAAGTTATTTAAGTTAGCATTAGCTCGCCAGAGCCTCGGTAGCGTGTGCCACCATGACACCTAAGGAAGGAAAGACTCAGAAAGTTTCACCTCGGTGTATCTACTGTCAGTTTGTTCACATTGTAAACATCCGTCAGGGGTTCAGCTTCTGAGTAAAATTAAAGTATATCAACTTGCGTGTAGTAATGTTAGCGATCTGTTAATCTATTATATTTTACATTAATAGTCTGAATGATTATTAAATTATCATTTGACTCAGTGGCTTTGATTCAAAGACCGTTTTTCCATTATCTGCTGCCTATGTGCTGGAAAAAAATTCAAACCACTTCCTTTTAATATGATCAGAATTGGAATAAAGCCTCCCAGTACAAATCTGTTCATACAGATGTCATAGTTTTTCATTTTAAGAGAGACATCACATTGTGTCTGTTTCAGGATGGGCCAAAGAGGAAGAAGAGGAAATCGGAGGCTGGACAGGTGGAGCAGAAGGCAGACTTGTTGGCGATGGGAACAGCAGCGGGTACAGTGCTTATCTACAGTGCAACGAAGGGAGCACTGCACTGTACCTTGGTAAGTTACACTGATTTGTGTGTCATAGTGCATAGAGATGCCGTTATATTTTTGTGTAATGTGTCAGTAGCTTTCAGAGAACCTGTTAATTACAAATGTATTTGCACGTCAGAGAAAGAATCCTAAACCTAAAATTCATCCACTCTGTTTTTACTGAGCTGATGATACAACAATTAAAATGTGAATCTGTTGATACTGCCGTACATGTTCATTTTTGAGGCTGTAGGTACTGGTCTTACTGTAACTTATATTATTTGGGGTTTCCAGGGGGTGAAGATGCAATATTAGGAACGGCAAAGGTGTTACTCACAGTTTCCTGAGGATCTCTCAAACCTTTCTGGTTTTCTCAACAAGAAGTCGTGCACAAATGTGAAAGTTTTTCAGACGCGTGGCATTTTTGACACTTTGCGACTGATGTCACTGTCCCAGTGTCAATGATGGTAATATTAGGTGAATGCTGGCTCGTCTTAACTTACACACCAGCCCGTATTCTTATATCAATTTTATTTAAATTAGAGATATTACTGAATCATCCACAGAGGGCTCCTCCACTTCAAAACAAATGGACCAGGAAATTGAAACTTGTTAAAAAAAAAATTGAAGAAAGCAGTTTCAAGTTATAAATCAAATCAGTGTTCCTCTGATGCTGTCAATGGTCGCGGAGCGTCGAGAGGGGCTGTTGGCACTTAGCGCAGTTGCTCCGCTTATTTCTCATTGCTTTGCTTGTTTTTTGGCTCTGATTCTGTAAGTTTCTTCACTCAGGAGGTTTTAACTTTTAGCCAAATTATCCACAGAGGTCTCCTCTGCTTCCAAACAAACAGACCAGGTAATTAAAAGTTAAAAAATGATGATTAAAGCACTTTCACTTCAAAAAATATAAGTTTTGGCAAGTCAGGACTGGCTGTGAGAGGAGCTATTGGTTCAGCTTGTTTCTCTATGATTGTAAGATCCAGACCTATGTTGACTTAGATCCTTTATTCAAGTAAAACTTATTAAAAAAAACGAAACGTGACATGAAACTTTTGGAAAGTAGTCTGATGGAGACTTAAGAATATTCAGCACAGTCATAAAAAACGGATGGTAGAACTGGGTGATAAGACAATAAAGATAATTATCACAATATTACTTTTGCCTCATAGAAATATAAGACATGGTCAGTACAACGTCGATAGAACTCATCCATCCATGTTTTGACAGACAACATGAACACGGACATCGGGATTAGAGTGAGGGAACAATCCAAAATCATGATCCGACATCATAGATTAACAACTTAATACATTTGATTATTCGTTTGTTTGAGAATGGGGACAGCAACCAGCGGACACATGCCGTTCTTCTGCAGACAGAAGACGTTCCTCTTGCACATGATGCAACAGTGTGTTTGAAGAAGCGACGCCCAGTTAATCCCGGAAGATCAATTTGAATTCAGCAGGCGCAGATTTGATTTATGTCAAGATATATATGGATCGACTATGAAAAAATACCACGATTAGATTTATTTCCATATTTCCCAGCCCTATCTAATGATATTACAAGTAGGTAAACAATGTAATAATATAACATCAAAAGTCAACAGCAGGACAAACTACAGCCTCTAAAATGTCCATTAATTGCTGTCAACACCTCAGACACGCGGTTACTTACTTTAACAAATTTCCTCGGCCAAACCGTGGACTGTTCTGCAATAACTAGCTGATACATTGCCTCTACTTGAAGCCTTTACTGTTGAATAATGGGACCATTTTGTTTACCTCTGCTAACTCTGCTCTGTCCCTGCCAGGATGGAGGCCATAGTGGAGGAGTGAATTGTGTCCATTGGCACCCTGAAGACAGTTTATTGTACAGTGGCTCAGATGATTCAAACATTATTGAGTGGGATCTGCAGACGGGCAAGATGCGAAGGTCAGTATCAACTCGAATAGTGAGGGTATGTTTTTTAAATTGGCATGGAAGAAAACAGAGGAGTGTCTCTTCGGATTAAATCTGGATTATGGTTCGTAACTGACCAAATAACACATCAATCTGGAGTCAAGTTGTTTTACTTAAAATCTAAATGGGAAATGTTGTTCGATATTTTTGTTTTCAATCTAGAGAGAGCTTTAGACTACTATAGAGCCAGAGGAAATTACAAGAAAACTAAACATTGCACAGTTTTGCCTTTGAGTGTAAAGTATTTTGAATTCAGTCTTGTCTGCCACAGACAGTAAAAAAAACTTTTTGTATGAAGGTCTTGAGTGAATATTGTTTGAAAAATGTATCATCTCCCACCTCTTTCACATTTCATTGTCTCCATTCTCTTGGTCTAACTAAACCTGCAGGAGCTCACTCCCCCTTTTAATAAAATAGAGCTGTACCAGTATTGATTTTTCCCATCTCAACATCAATATATTATTGTCATGAGGGTTGGATAACAGCATCTTAGGAATCATTG